AAAAAAAAAATCCCACATGCATACTACCCTTTAGGGCTAAGCCCCGGGTGTTTCAAATGTCTGGCTCCGCCTCTGGTGTGAACGTAACCTTAGTCTGTTTCTTTTCTTATTGTGAGAGTCTTGTCCCGTATGCATCAAGTTCTGTTTCACTCCTCCTTGTCATTAAGTGATTTAAGTCCAGCTGCGTTCCCACGTGTCTCCACTTCCCTTCATCACCCTCATGTGTACATAGTGTCAGTTTCACTTTGTCCACCATCAGAGTGTCTGTTATGTTCCCGTCATGCACCTGTTCCTGTGCCCGGTGTCCTTCATGTTCCCATGTTCTGTGCACCACTTTCGCTAGTATTATTTCCAGTGTAAGTTTTTGTTTATGTTTTGGATTTTCATCTTCCCTTGTATCTGCTCCATCGCCTTAATAAAGGCTCGCTTTCTGTTTAAACTTCTGTTCGCCTCCATGGCCGCATTTGGGTCCTCATCACACACTCTCCATCAGCATTAACACAATGGACATGAAAACACACACACATCAGAGTAGGAAAACCTTTTCATGACTTGAAACGCAAATGCATACTTTAAATTATGCAAAAATTTACACAACTATTTAAATTAAAGTACAGACAGTCCCTCGGCATTTTTTGAACAACTAAACAACTATTATTTACAAAATGATCAGACTTTACATTAAGATCTTATACAAATTATTTGTTCTACTCCAAAAAATTGTTCCTGTCTACCACAAGAAAGAGGTCACAAGACAAACCTGACACCTTCAGGGTGTATCACTCCTTCTGTTGTCCACCTGGCCAACAAAAGGACATTTAGCATTTGCCTCACTGTTTTGACACGTCATGTTCTAGCTTTTATTGCTAGCATGTGCTTTCATAATGTGAGCTGTTTTCTTAGAATATTCAATTTTTCTAGTTTCTTCCTCCACTAAATGTGCCGTTCGTATACAGGAAAAAGCATAACAAGAACTTTTTTATAATAAGTCTAATTACAAATAAAGAGACAGAGGATGCAAAACTGAACACAATGCACACAGGATTACAGACTTAAATAAAACAGGAGGTAACACACACTGAAACTCAATTAAGATATGTGGGCTTGTCACTGGGACTGAGGGAAAACAGACATGAGACCCACACTGGGGAGACAAAATAAAGATCATACCAACAACAGGAGATGCTGAAGACAGAACACAGACTGGAACAGACATGAAAACAGCGAAAACCAGAAACTAGAAATATTAAAATCAGGCGCTCTAGGAAATACAAAATTACAGACAAGTATAAGAAAATGTCTTAAATCCAAAAGAATGACTGTCAAATTGTAGGGATTTTTGAGGTCTACTCTAAATATCATCATTTTGTTTTGTATTTTCATTGCTTCATATTTTTAACTTTGTTTCCATCTCAGATGCAGGTTTTTATATCATTCCAGACGGACTAGAGCTGTTTCACTACCTGTCACTGTTTTTGTTCTTTTCACTGTGGTGATCTCAATTAGGGCTGGGTATCGTCCCTGATTTCTAGAATCGATTTGATCTGATTCGATTCGATTTGAATCGGGGAAATTTTGCCTCAGACAGTCAGAAATATTATAATTCAGATCATGCATCAGTACATTTCCATTTTTTTTGTCTATAAAAAGAAAGCTGACACTTGCAAGACTTTATCAAAGGTTTAAGCATCACAGCAGATGCCTTTGTGTCAAAGTAAGTGATGATAAAACACAGAAAAACGTGAAGGTGGTTTTCCTGGCCTGGGATTTTATAAAAATATTCTGCAGTAGATCAAAAACTAAAGAAAACCATTAATCAACATATAAACATTACCTGATGCTGCTGAAGTGAAGCAGAGCAAAGTTACAGAGGTTTTATTGGAGACACGGCTAAGCGTTTTGCAATTTAGCATAATTTTAAAAAGTTTAAATTTGTTCAGCATTGAACAGCAGAAATGAAACTTTCTTTTCGGAAGTAAGTAAAAGGAAAAAAACAGCGGCCCACAGTGCTGTAAACAACGGTAGACTTGTGCATAACAAGCAAACAAATAATGCAGAAAACAGATTTTTAGATGGGGAAACTGTTCTTGAAGTATACAGAGAGAGAGAGAGCTCTGCGTGAAGTGTGATTTTTATCGTGGTGGAAGCAAAACAGCAAAAGTCAGAGGGAATTCATGACGATGTTTATGTGAAGCCTAGTTTGGATCTTCTTTTGCTGCTGGTTCAGTCAATATTGTTTAGAGAGAGATAAAACCTACAGCTTCAGAATCAGCGCAAAAAGGGCGTGAACATCCCGCCGAAACATCAGAATCAGCGAGCTGTCGGCTTTCAGCCCCGACCATGTCCGTGCCGTCAGGTGAGAAAGACGACATCTTACTGATTCTGATTCGTCGGCGGGTCCGCGCTTTGTGTTTACGTCTTTGTGCAGAATCCGTGTTCCTGCTCTCATTTGCTGTCTTAGCTATTTTGTGGTTTTTGAAATTTTGTGAGGTTTAACCTGAGATTTGGCATCTTGGGCAAAATAAATTTATATTTAAAAATCGATTCAGGATTTTAATGAATCCAAGGTAGAATCGATTTTAATCGATAAATCGATAATCAAAACCCACCCCTAATCTCAATGGCTCCCCTTATTTGGGAAGATAAGGAATATTGAGGGATTTCTTTAAGCATGTGACATGAAGCAGAGATCAACAGTATTTTGGGGAGACATGAAGCATCAGTGATGCAAGACTTCAATGAGAACATGGCAGCACGCCACTTGTTAGAAACCTTTTTTCAGTTATTAGTTTAGGAGAGTAGTGAAGATGAATTGAAGCATCTCTGATGTTGGTGAGTCATCAGACAGGCTGAGTGATATTTCCCAATGTTAATATTGGCAAAGTATTAGAGCAGATATATTCTCTCATAGCTGGCAAAAAGTGCTGACTTCACAAACTGCTTTACACAAATTTGCGTCATCCTGAGGACTGTTTATGTAACACACCCCTAAGTGGACAGCCAGAAATTATACCTGGTACTGACAAAACAGCATCATAGTATGTTTTCCTCTCTCGCTTCTGCCAGATCCAAAGACCAGCAGTAGTGTCACACTAAATCATCTCACTAGGGTGGAGGTGCCCCCTTGTAGTGTAACTAGGGATCACACCACATGTTGAAGCTCCAACAAAAACACAAAATTAAGGCCTTTGTTTAACAAAACTACACCTGAAGACTTGTGCAATATACAAAATAACATCACACAATGTGACCACACATTACGGTGTGTCACATTTACACTGCTATAGAAGAAGCTTTGTTGCTGCATCTTATGCTGGGACTTTTTAGAAAACAGAGCAACATAACAAATAACACATTCACACATAAAAGAAACTGATCAACAGTCACAGAGGGAATTTGTTTAGTGAAGTTATTCAAAAGTTTTGTTTTCATGAGTTTATTGAAAAATCATCACTCAGAGAGAATCCAGATTCATCTGATCCAAAGAGAACAAGCATGAGACTGTCTTCTTATTGGTGGAACATATTTTTGTTCAAGAAAAGAATAAGAATATAACACATATCAGGACTTGAAGTGCTCGGCCATTCATGAAGTAAAAGTACAACAACCTGTTTGTTCTTCTTTTGATTCAGTGCTTTTGTCTTGATGACATTAACTATGTTAGTTAATTAAACTATGTTAGTTATTTAAAACATCAATAACATGGTTCACTTTTAGCACTGACTTACAAAAACACCTCCTGATATACAATACCAAAACATGTGTCTGTGCTAAAGGCTGTAAAACACAAAACAACATAATTACTGCTCAATGACATATTCATGATTTTTTTCTCTCAAGATCTTGTGAGTTTATCTTTGTGATGCTTTGACTCGTGTATCTTCAGCTTACAAAGACACAGTGAAGCTTCGTCTTCATCCACACCCTTACAACACAACTGTTTTTGTGTTGCACCTCAAAGAATAATGAAGATCTATTGATTCTGATATTGAAGATCACCTTGTTTATTTACATATTGTTAATTTAATAAAAACACTGTTACACTGACTTAAAATTATATGAAATATATAAAATGTAATATTGCTCTTTTTTTTCTTTTATTCATCAAAAGAGTCCTGATGAGTTTACATGATGTAATTGTTTTTTTAGTATCACTTTAGCCTGTGGCGCTCTCCAGTGCTGCTGATGAGGTCGATCTTTAGCTTGTCTGGAGAATCCCATATCAACATGCCTTCACACATCACATCAGCATTGTCAGGATATGGGTTCCTGCCACCTTCTCCCCGTACCTGGAAATGTAACCAATAAAAAGGTCACAGATGTCCAAGTGAAAAGTAATAATAAGAGAGACTAAAAGAAGAATCTAGTAACACAGAGACTCACAGTGAGTTCCTCTTTAGCTTTCAGTGTAAAGTT